AACGCGCGTGCGCGCTCCGCCCTGGCGGCGCTGCCGTTGGAGAGGAGGCAGCGGACGGCGTCGCCCAAATCGTACTGGACGGCCCAGCCGAGCTCCTCCTTGACCTTGTCGAGCGGCAGCTCGTGCGACATCAGGCACGCGATGCAGTCGGTGTACTCGCGCTTGACGGCGATGTGCAGCGGGTGCACCCCGTATCGGTTGGCGGCGTTCACGTCCGCCCGCGCGTCGAGCAGGAACTCGACGAGCTCGACGTAGCCGCCCGCAAGCGTGTGGTGGAGCGGGGTGCCTCCGCACCCATGCTGCCGGTTGTCGGGGTCGGCGCCGCACTCGACGAGCCGCGTCGCTATCTGCAGCCGCGCCTCCTGGTGCACGACCGAGTGGCGCTCGCCAGTCGCGACCTCGTGCAGCCCGCAATCAAGGTGGCGCTGGGTCACACCTACGCGGGTTGGCGCGGGCTCGAGGATGGCGCCGCTGGCAGGCGAGCCGTGCAAGGATGCGCTGGAGGCAGCGGCCGCGGGCGGGCACACACCCTCAGTGAGGAATTTCTCGACAACGTCACACTCGAGGCAGCGAATTGCCCAGATGAGAGAGTGTTCGTCGTTCTCGGCCGGTGGCGCGGTCGACGCGTCGGCTAGCGCCGTGGACGGAGCAGGCGCCTCCGGCATTGGTGACCAGTGCACCGGTCGCGACGAGGGCAGTGCACTGGAGAAAAAAAGAAACCAAGATGATGAAACAAGAAAAAAAACCTCGCAGAACACTGCGAACCTGTCGCTGTCCCTTTTGTCAGTAGCAGGAGAACTAGGAGAGCGCAACCAGTAGGAGGCCCGCGCCTGCCCCCGTGCCGCCGGGTGCAACTTTGTCCTATACGAGAGGGGAATCCCTGGGACCCTGTCGTGTGGGTGAACCCTGCCCAGCCCCCCTCCGTGTCGCGATGCGCGCTCCCCACTCCCGTTCCCCTGTGTCCCTGATCGTCCTTACAAGATCCTGCTCGCGCAGGTGGGGACCACCCTAGTACCGTCTGTCTTGTTTGCGAGATCTTCAAACGAATACTTTAAAGTCTCGACAATCACTAAGCTGCTTATGTGGCACCGCAGAGGCTCCCTTGGGGATGCCTGAGGCCACCCCAACCACTCACCAAGCCTTACGTGGACGAATTCAAACCTACTTTTATGGTTTACCCACACTAAGCGAGTACCGTTCGTAACAGTTTTTCAGCTTTTTCCCAAAATTTTTACGGGACTCGGGAGACCAAGAAAGGCAGTCGAATGCGTCCGATTCAGTTTTAATCCACCAAATTTGGACGAGTGCACGGACGAAGTGCCTCGCCGCCCTCGCGGGAGTCGCTTAGGCGGCTCCCGCCCGCCCGTGGTGTACCTATGTATGTTAGTGCCAGTGCGCGCCAGTCCCATGTGCCCAGTGTCATGCGAGGGAGTTTTGTTGTAAAATCCTATCGACTGTGTGGACTCATGACGACACTCGCTCGACTTGGATGCGCTGCACCTGCAGCGAGCCGTTGATGGCTTGCGTGTGAGGAGAGATCAGACATTGATCGGGAGAGGCAGCAGCTGGAGTCGCAAAAGCAAGTCGTGAAGGAGAACCTTGAGCGATTCAAGGGGGCGAATCAAGATCAACGTCGGTGGCACAAAATTGGAGACCACTTTAAGCACGTTGACACGCGTTACCCAGACTACATGCTCGGCACAATCTTCAGCGGTCGCGAAGGCATTGAAGTGCCTGTCGATGACGACGGGTATGTGTTCATCGATCGTGACGGCACCCACTTCCGAGCCATCCCGAACTTCTTTCGCTCTGGTAATATCACGTTCCCAAAACGCAAAAGGACAAGCTGGAGTGTGTAGAGTTACTCAAGGAGGAGATTAAGCACTACATGCTGGAACCTTATATCCCGCAAAGCTTCTGACCGCAGTCGTGGCCAGCCTTCTGCAGAGCCGGCTGTACAGGTTCTGTACTGAGGGAGGGAGGGTGTAGAGGATGTAGAGTGTAGATAGAGCGCTGTAGAGCTGTAGAGATGTAGAGCGCTCTGGAGCGCTGTAGAGCGCTGTAGAGCTGTAGAGCTCTACATCCGCCGCGGGACGAACTGCGTGCGTTGTAGAGCGATGTAGAGGCGCTCTACAACGTGAATCTATACCTGCACTACAACAAACGGTATCTAGATATCTTACATGATAAGCGGCGAACGAGGCACGGTCGCTCTCCGACATGAGGCGCGTTGCACTCGCCAGTGCTGCCCTGGCCTTCTGTCCGCCCGCCCAGTGGGTGGGAGGTGCCTCTGCTGCTGTGGCATGCCTCACGGCTGCGACTGGCCGGCGCCTCGGCGCGTCAGCTCGGCTCGGCGTAGCGATAGTGGCCAGCGCAACTCGCCTGGACTCAACGCTCAGCCAGGAGCTCCCGCACGCGCTGGCGCGAGTCATGGCGCATGCAACGCGTCTGAATGCTCGCCTCGCCTTGCGCAAATGCGACCGTCCTCGCCGCCGACAGTCCACCGCCTGCTAAAGAAGCAC